GTCAGGGCTGGCAGATGCTCCAGCAACCGAGGATTCTGCCCTGTCCCTGCCAGAGAAAAGAGGAGATGAGAACAGGACATGGCAGGACAGGGAGCTGGGACACAGGGGACAGCACAGGCTCTGCAGTGCCCTTGGTTTTACCTGCCACAAGGTTATGTCTCCACCCTGCCCCAGAACACCACGCTGCCAGGTCTCCCACACTGACCTTCCCCTGGCCAGCTCTGCACAAACGTGGAAACGCTGGCAGCCTGGCACATCTGTCCCACACCATCAGCCCGCTGCCCAGCCCTGCCTGCGTGCAGAAAGGAGAGGAGCGATGGCAAATCGCCAGAACACAGACCCGTGTTCAGAGGGGGTCACCCCAGCACGCATCTCAGCTGCAGCCTTGGCCGTCGCCCTTTACATGCCACGTACCAAGTGCATCCCAGAGGCTCTGCTCAGCGTTGTTATATTTTATTTTGTTTAAAACAGGTGACCAGCCCCGTCAGCGCTTCCTTAGCCCATAAGCAGCTCTCCAGGACACTGCTGTTCAGGACACTCTTGAAGGCTCCGGCTCAGATCCAGCTCCCAGCCCACAACCTGATGACGTGCTCAGGCTCAAAGCAGCAGGGAGGTCCCACACAAGGAGGAATCAGATGGTTTCCTTGGGGCCAGCACCAGTCCCAGCAGGCCCCTCCTCACTCACAGCCAGCGCACCACCACCCGGGAACCTGCCACAGGATCCCACGCTGATGGAGACAAAACTGCACAGATCTAGAAACGGGAGCTTTGATGGAGAGAGATCTCTCAGCCACGGCACAGAGCAGAGGAACCAGCATGGACCAGTAACTCTTCAGGATCAGAAGCATCTGCCCAGGCTTCTTCCGCAGAGAGAAGCAGTGCAGGGTTAGTGCAGCACAAGTGTCTCACGTTGCCCTCATGCAGACACAGTGCAAACATCCCGTGGGACAGCCCGAGCTGCCGAGTCACAGGTTAATTCCGGCAAGGGCAGTGAGGCAGAGCAGCGTCCCTCATCCCGTGACGGAGCCACACCTGCCACACGCACCCCATCCTTAAAAACAAAAGAACCTGACCTGGGATTCTGATGCAAGACGGAGCCCTATGGAGCCAGGACGTGCCACTCAGCCCTGTGACACAGCAGCGCGTAGCGGGACGTGCAGCACCTGGCACACACTGCCCAACGCCTTCAGATGCCCCAAAACATCCCCCCAGCTCCATCATCACAGCCTCTGGCCAAAGGGTCCTGGTGCAGAGGGACAGGGAACTTGGAAAGGCTGTTTGCTCACTAGAAAAGCTGCCTTTTCCTACAAAGTTTGGCTAATTCTGACAGGGGCATTGACTTGATTGGGCTGAATTTACACCAGAAAAACGGCCTGAAACTGCAGGAAAAGCAACAGAAGGGACACGGAGCGAGCAAGGGAGGGAAGGACGGAGGGATGCTCTCTGGACAGCCCAATCCATCACTGCCAACAGACACCTATTGTACCACTGCCATAAATCACAACCCCTTTGGGCACCGGAGGAGAGACAAATACTGTCCCAGCAGCCTCCAAAGGCCTCCACCCGAAGAGCACGGCTCAGTTTGGGCCACCGGCCCCCTGCGCTGCTCAGCCCTAACCTTGGCAACCCGCAGGGGCCTTGGGAAGGCGCCCGGCCAAGCAGGCAGCTCATGCCACTCGTTGTTTTATTTGCCTCCTAAGATACTCAGAGCCTGTGAAGGCCTAGCAGGACTTTCTGCTGGTGGCTCCCACGCAAAGCTCCTGCCCCGTGGTGGAAAGGGGCCAGATGCCCCCTTCTCCGCACAGCACCGCAGCGAGGCATGAGCTGGGATGTGAGCGGTATGAAAGGGAAAGGCAGCTCAGCCATCGGTGGAGTAAAAAAGGCCCAGAGCTGAGTCCCCTCAGGCTGTGAGAGTCATCTTCCTGCCCAGGGAAACATCCAGATCCATCCCAGTGGACGCTGGGGTTGCTGGAGCCTCCTGCACCCAGGGGACTGCAGAGCCCAGGGGAAGAGGCACCAGGCACAATGGTGGGCAAGGGCTGTGGGCACAGCTGAGCGCTTCTCCTGCTGCTCAGGCTTTCGGCAGCGATGGTTTAGAGCCCAGCGGGCCCCAGCTCTGCCCCCATCACCTCCCACTCTCTCCAGCTACAGGGACTCAGAGTTCAGGGTGTAGTAAAAGGGGTTTATTCTTTAATTGCTGCTTGTTTGTTTAACACCATAGTGGCCTTTGCTGCCCTAATTAAAACGCAGAGGATGTATAAGCAGCGCAGGACATTTTGACAGGTAGAAACACCCACAGGACAGGTAGAGCCACAGCACCAGGAGCTCCCACAATCTCTGGTTTCTCAGGAGCCCCAACACATCTGTCTTTTCTCACAATACCGCTGGATTTGAGAACAGCAGAAAGATGGATCCCCACTTCCCAGTGAGGCTGACAATGTCAGAGGCATGGGAGGGTGTCGTGATTTTTTTTTTTGGACTGAGGGTCGAGACAAGAACCGAAAAGGGAGCACCCACCAACCATGGTCTCGGGCAAAACATGACTCATAACAGTTACTAAACAAAAGACAAAAGGGAACGAAACCGGTTACTTGAGAGGAGAAAAGAGAAAACAAGGCCAGATCTTAAAACAACACCTCCCCACCCCTTATTTTCCTTTCGTTCCTGGCTCTGCCTTCCCCCCAGCGGCGCAGGGAGACAGGGAATGGGGCAGTGCAGGTCAGTTCA